AAAATTAAACTTCTCTTTCTTGCGCAAAGCGTTTGAACAAGCATTTATTTGCTATAAAGAGAGAGTAGAAACTTACTACAATTTTCAAACATTAAATATGGCCAAGAAAGTGAAAACATTTAACCCCATAGGGAAATACGCAATTACTATGTGCACTGTTCCCCCCTTGCCGAAGGCGTGCCCAAAAAGCCTCTCCGTTGCTACTAACGTAAGTTTCATGATTCGCGGGTGAAATGCTTTAAAGAAATTTCAGAAAATAAACGTATGTCACATAATGCGGTGAAGAGTACTTGAAGTACACTTTCAGCGGTAGAAACGGGTATGCTCGTTAAATAAACTATAAATAATTAATCATCTTACCTAGTTGTTTTCTATAACTCAGCAAATGTATCCAAATGCACATTCGGGTAATTAGATTTTTTAAGTCTGTCCTAGAGTTTAAAAGCATATCGCGAGGATCCCATCTCATGTTCTTAAAGCCCTTCACCAGCACAACAATGCCCACTGCAGACGCCTTAGTGAGAACTTCCAACAGGTCATCTGCCCGTTTAAGTTGGTCCGATTTGAACTGGCAATCAGAGAAGTATGAAGTAATTTGTGGGTTTTTAATGGAAACAGTCAAAACAGGGGTCTGGTACCTGACTCAGAGGGAGGCATATACCGTCAATTCTCACTTCCGTGAACTTGTGAAAGCAAAGACTTGCTATCACGTTAGGTTGAATCCCTTAGAAAATGCCGGATTCTTTCATTAAAATATTTTCGACCGGTAATCATCTGATTCAAAATTTCCATAGAACCGGGAAACCATTAAATCTGTGCACCATAGCCAATCTACGCTAAATCAACGCAGCATGTAGGCTTATGGTCATTTTTCACAGAACGCTACATAATTGTAGTTACCGGGTAATGACCTGTGCAATTTATGTCGAAAGCGTGATAATCGGGAGAGAGCCAGCGACTGCTTGACTGCATTTTCCCATTTCACTTCTGAATACTTAATCCACACCTGTTCCTGCCCCCAATATTATTAAAATTTATTTTTGAAATGTTTCATTGTGAGAGTTGCTTGGGAAATCCTAACGGAGCATCATGTTTGAGTTCATTTGACGCCAAACCTAAGCATCCAACTATATTGTCGGGTTTATACAATGACTTACTCATGCGTCAGTTTGAATGGGTCAGTAATTGATATTTACTTTTGCAAACATAAAACACACGTAATAGTGTATTCCTTGGTTGATTTGAAAGCTGTTGTCTTTTTGCATAAAAAAATTCTGAGAAAATCTGCATTATGCCTTCCACAGCCCCTAGCGAAGTGAGAAATCTCCGAGCTGCATCTGCAACCTCTACCTCCCTGAGTGTTGCATGGGATCCGCCTCTGCGAACTGGTGGAGTACTCGATAATTATTTGCTGAATATTCAATATGGAGTAAAGGGAGCCCCCAAAGTCACTAGGATAAGTTACATCTCACCCCTGAAGACTAATATCTCTGTCCTGGATTTGCCGAATGACTGCGAGATCGAAGTGCAGATGCAGGCCAGAACACGTTCGCGCATTCAAGGTGAAAGTAGCATTGCAGGAAGAAGGAGTGAAGTGCTTCGTGTGAAGACGTTTGCAGGTAATCCGGGAATCTTCAGCTAACTTTGATGCTCTGTGTCGTGTTATGCAGCAGACACAGCTACCTTTTATAGATGTTCATCCTATTGGTTTAAATAACACTTATTTTCAGACCCTGCATTGTTGAATTGGACAGTCACTGTCGTACCTACCAATGAATCAACACTTTGGTTTGAGTGGTCTCTGCCACAGTCTGGAGCAGAGGAATTGCAGCTCATTGAACTGAGATCAAACCCAACAACAGACGGGCAGGCAATGGTCCACATGGCGACTGTCAACTCTACTGCACGCCAGGGCTTGCTTGGAGGTTTACTTCCCGGTAGGACGTACGACACCGTTGTCGTTGCTGTGTACGCTAATCGAAGCATCGAGATGTACACTGGCAGGCACACAACTCACGCTCACGGTATTTCTTCTAAGATTCATTTGCAAATATATATATGATTCGTCTTCGACAACACTATCTAAGGATGGTTATTTGACTCCAGCTGTTACGGGGCGACGTATTTGGACTTTTCGTTTCCAAGGGGCCACTTTACGACATTTATCTAGATCTGGTAGGACGAAGTAAGCACTAGGTAGTGTTGTAGTTTCTATTGCTTCACGTAAACACTCAAGGCGTATTAGAAATTTCGGGAAGCTCAGCTGCTCTCAATGGCATGATTTTTTGTCTTTTGCGGGGTTCACACTTCATAATTATTTCGCATCACTGTAAATAGGCAAACCAAGTTATTTTAGGTCTGTCAGGTAAGCCCATTATATTTCAATCGATACAGGCCTCTACATGAATTCGGCAAGATTGGTAGTTCGGATTCGTTCGTGAACGTAAATTTACTGATTATTTTGATATTAGGCAGGTCGAAATGGTGCTGATGACGGTTTTGCACGTTTTTCGACTAGGAAAGTACAAGTTGCCTAAAAAATCATGCTATAAGTGAGCACATGACCTTTAGCTGTTTTATCCGTACTGTTCACTTATTATGTCCTCGGGCATCAAGTTTAGAGGCAGGATCAAATGAACGCACACCAGTCAAATAAATCCATCTAAATGCCATATATGCCAATAATCAGTGCATTTGTACCGCCACAAATGCATATGTACCATCCCAAGGAGCGCTTTTGGTTATTTTTCTAAATCATGTAGAATACAATAAGCGATAGATGATGCAGTGGTATGTATTGTTCCACTTAAACACTCAAAGCGTATTTAAAGATCTCGGAGGTTCAATTACTCTCTATTGCATGCGTTTGCGGATTTTGGCGAGTTTCGCATTTCTGATTTATTTCATATAAATACGTAATAATTGCTACTTCTTATAATTACGTACTATCTCAAGTTTGGAACTTGCTAAGAGAGCTGCAGCGTACAGCATTTGCCCTGCAATCCTGTAAACAGGTAAGCCAATTCCTTGTGCTTCTGCTAGACGAGTCATCTGTAGGGCAACACGGATGACCCATAAACTGGACAGATCCAATTGCTTAATATGAGCTCGATAAGACCGGCGATTCAAATTCGTTCGTGGTCGTACATGTACGGACAACTGTGACATAAGGCACGTCGACATGGTTCTTTAATCACTTACGGCACCTCTGTCCAGTGATAACTATTTGCCTCAAAAACGTTCTGTTAGCGAATATATGACCTTTAATCGTTAGATGCTTACTGCAAAATGATTATGTCCTCGGGGCATCTAATTTAGAGGAATGATCACGTGGAAACATGCCAGTCTAATGAATCCTTTAAAGCACAAAATGTCAGTGGGCGGGACATTTTTCCCGTTACAAACTTATATACACCAACGATAATTATTGGCGCAGCAATAAACTGGTTTCCATACTGCCTACAAGTCATCCCTACGTTTCTCGTAAGTACAACTATTGCGTTTATGGTTTAGTTTTTCCATCGCTTAAGGTGCTTCTAACAAGCCGAACATGCATTTGCGCTGATGCAATGAAAGTATCGTCATCCTGTCGTATGTGCTCATGTTCACGAGACTTAAATTTAAACGGCGACTGTAATAGTTTGATCACCTTTCCGAGATGCCCTTTAATTCTGAAGACTGGGAAAATGGTCATAGGTCGGCGAGTTTAGAATAAACTGCTTTGAAGAAAATTATGAGTCAGAAAACGCACCATGGGATACATGTCGAGGCCAATATCCGTCAGGAGGCATAAACAACTTGTCAAATGTTGGTTAAAAACAGCTATTTTTCCATATCACTGTTGCTCCACTATACATCAAGCGGTTACATTCGGAAATCTAACTATAGTGTGCTTTTTGAAGGGTCCTCTCGCAACAGATCACGCACAGTGTTGCAATCAAGTAAGGAACCATTTTAACGATAAAAATTTCAAACTACATGCGGACTGTTTCATAGAATGCAACTGATTTCGGCCAAACTACTAGGGACTAACCGCAACAATCGGCCTAGGTTCCACATAAAAATCCTACAACGAATTTCGAGTTTTTATTCGACTAATTCCTACCAGAGCCGAAGCGTCATCTAAACCCAATTTATTACTGAGACCAGTCCGCTTCACCTTTTGATCTTTCTTCATGCTCAGATAGTACCCTTATCTTGACATTGGTGCATTTTGGAAGTTTGATTTAGGCTACACTTGTCGACTTCGCCTAAATAATTTGACGTTATTTGCAGCATTTGCATACTTTGTGACCTAAAAGTCCAGGATTTCTGTTTAGCACCCAGCGAAGTAAGATATTTCGAGGGAGGGACTGCGACCTCGCATTCCATCAAGCTGACGTGGTCGCCGCCGATGCATCCCGGTGGAGAACTGACTGAATATCTGATCAGTTGGACATACAATGAAGGCGGAATCACACAGACACGGTTTAGACTTATCTCGGCCAAGAGTACTACATACGTAATTTCGTGGCTTCCAGCTGACAGCGATATCTATGCAAAAATCCAAGCTAGCACAAAATCACACGTGGCGGGTGCAGATCAGTTAAGGGGAAACTGGAGTGACGTGCTTCATTTGAGAACATTTGCAGGTAATCGAGATGCTTTTAACTTTACTGCAATGTTTCACCAAGTTGTGTGCCTGAAATTAGTATATTATATGCATCCTAATCTTTTACGCTTAACTGACTCTTTTACCAGACCCTACACATTCCAAATGGACAGTGGACGTCGTAACCGTCAATGAGACCACCCTTCAATTTGAATGGTCGCCGCCCCTGTCTGGGGTGGATGAAATACTGCACATTGAACTGAAAGCAACCACAACAATAGATGGTAGGAACACGAACTTCAAAAACGACTTCGCACACACTGCTCGCATGGGCTTTCTTGGAGGTCTACTTCCTGGCAGAAAATACGACACGCTACTCGTTGTCGTGTGCCCTGATCGGAGGCTTGAAATGTACACCGGGAGGCAGTCTACTAAGGCTCATTGTACGTTCTTTTCTTCGAATATACCCTTAAATTGCATTTTTGCAAAGCAAAAGGCAATGACTGAAATCCAGACTGTGCAGTGTAGGTTATAGTCCTTCTGTTGTTTGTGATTTATCGGGAAAGCGGTAGCTGCGGGTGTTTAATGAACTTAACATGACTAAACTCAAGATAGAGTTTTAATTTGTCGTTTTACGGAGGGCGATTATTTCGGTTCTCTAGTCCTCTCGGCTGATGGTCAAAACCGAATGCGTTTATCCGACGCATTGCTAAGATGCCTGTGAGTTTGTGGGTGGAACCGGTTTGGCTACGAGAGGAGAATCAACTATATAGTGAACCCCGCAGCCAAGGGCTTTCACACAAGTCAGACACAGTGACCATTCCCATCGCTCCTCATCATTGCCTCGACTTCACACTACAGCCCACTGCATGTGGCCAAATAGACTACGGCGTATGCTGATTATATTGTTCTTGTAATAATCAAATTAACACACAGCTTGCCAATACTCCCGCAGAGTAGAGTAGATGTGCTATCCTACGAAATGTTAATCGAAATTCTGAAATGTCTTCGATTCAAAAAGGTTTTACATGAAGGGTTGTGATATTAATCATTGCGCGGCATAACCACAAGATATTTCAGTCGCATAAAAATGTTGCTCATTCAATGATTTTTTTCTGTCGTCTGTAGGAAGTACAGTCTGCAACGCTGACTGATTAAGTAGTATGCGTTTCACTTTTAATTTTTAGTGTCCTCACAAATTCAATTATGCTTTATAGAAAACGTGCACGAAAATGTTCTCTTTTGCGCTCATTTGGTAGAAAGTCATGTCTTCTTGAAATTGTCTGCTTGAAGATAGAGTACTCGTCAGTTTTTAATAACTTTTTGAATTCCCGGATGGTTTTGAAGCCAACCTGTTGTTACACTTGCATTCGGAGCTTCCAACCTACATGCCGCATGCATCCCGTCAAAGAAATAACACACATTTCTCTACGTTATTTAGAGGAGATCATTTGGCACTCAGAATATTGTCTGATGGATGTGGACCAGGTTTTATACTTTATACGCAGTACTAATACACATTCTAATGCGATGCCGTATGAATGGACATTTCACTGGCCTAAAAAATCCTAATTAGAAACTTTTAAAGCTAAAAGAAATCATTTCTTTGAGTGTAAAAGTTGAATAAAATCTGAGTTGCTACCAAATGACTACAAGAGAGAATATTTTCGTGCACGTATAAGCGAATTTATGAGGACATCGCAAACCCATGGGACAAATGCATGCTACTTAAGCAGTCACTTTTACAGAGTGTACTTTCTGCAGACGATCGGAAATAAGCTCACCCAAAAGTTACCATTCTGATGTGACTGAAATATCTTGGGGCTATGCTGCACAACAGTTACTATCACGACCTTACCTACGAGATCTTTTCGGATCGAAAACACATTTCAGAATTTCAACTAACATTACATCAGACAGTACATCTACTCTACAGGTCATCATCGTCCTCGTTACCTTTGAAGCACAGTTCGTTGCTGCTTCGTGGCTAAAAGCTACTTCAAGTACTGCGACTAGGCATATTAATGCTGAAGATGTATTTAGCGACTAAATAGGAGGACCATTGCGCGGTAGCCACGGAGAAAGAACACGTTCTCGCGAAAATCAATGAATATTCTCAGGTTCCGCGACGCGTTTTCTGATCGAGACTGAGTGCTTACTTTTGACCACTTACTGCAGCATGATCCACTCTTATATATGTCTTTGATGCCGCCGTGGTCTGCCTAATATTAAATTTGGAATTTTTATTCATCCTCTGTTTTACCTTCATTTTTAGTCCTATTCCGGTTACCAGTTATTGCGCCGTTAATAACATAATCTACTTCGACACTTGATGGTTCCACGAAACCACTCGGCCGGCTGCCAAAACAATTCGTAATATTTTTTAAATATTTCGACCTCCGCACGTAAAAGGATGTCATGAGAGTCTGATTTGCGGTAACCGAAGACCTAAAATAGGGGACAAGCATGCAAAATTCAAAAAGCGGTTACCTCAATGTGCAAAATTTGCAGATAACGTTTCTTCTTCTTCCATAACACACTGTCACCCTATAAAACCCCCTAATTAGTCTTTGTAGTGAATCCTAAGTTAAGTAGAATTTCAAAAGGCCGAAATGGTAAACAAATAAATAACAGTTAAACCTCTGCTTTGTGCGGTTTCGGGCACGGAATTCATCCAGAATTTTTACCTTGACAGTTATTTGTACGCGCATTCCAAATATTTGAATTAGTTAGAACAATCTCACATTTTAGGACATATATATATATATATGTATATATATGTTACTGTAGCGCACGTTACGGATCGGTGAAAGAGATTGTTCTTCAAGATACAAAGGTTCCTTTATAATATGATGACCCATCTGACCGTATATACAGTGAAATGACACAAGTAATCCTTGAGTAGGCTGTGAAACCTCGCATAACTGCATTCAGAAAATAACTAATTTTATGACGCGTTTATTCATTCCGGTGAAGACCTTGTAAAAACACAACAGTTGTTTACTAAATTGGAGTTTAAATGTTGACAAAGACCTTGTAGCGAGCTTAAGAAAAGTTGCAGCATAGGATTTGAGAGGTCAGACAGCCTTTTTAAGACTTGAAATTAGTCGCAAAATAACTTATTCGTGAGAGCATATGGGCAAAATATTAATAAATAAAAATAATAAAATAAATAATGCCCCTAATTTCATCGCAGATATGATTGGTTTTCTATGACTTTTGATTTTGCTTCAAAGGCTAATTTAAGCCTAAAGAGGTCAATTCAACGATCCTTTGAAATGTAGGACGATGTTTTATTAGAATGTGCCCACTTGGAACTTCTAACGATTGAATGGCAAACACACCCTTAACTTAATTCCATACTGCGCTCCCGTCCATTTTTCCCCAAAATAGGCAACCTTTTCTGTATATGTGCATGCGGGGTAAAGACAAGATTTGAGGACCGGTGAAGTCTTTATTTCAGCCAGCTTCTATTAGCTATCCTATTTGCACTTGCCGTTGTGCATGATTAACTTGCCGTGATAATTTGTCCATACCGATATAAACAGTAGCCTTGGCGCCTGTTTGCCACCGCTATTCGTTTTAAGAACAATTCAAATTTCTTGTTTTAGGCAAAACTTTACTTTTTGCACACACAGTTCCGCTGTATTTGTAGTATCATGACTGATTTTCTTCTTAGCCCCCAGCGCAGTCCGAAATATTCGAACAGAAAATGTCACTTCCCATTCCATCAGGCTCACGTGGGACCCACCCATGCAACCAGGCGGATACTTGGATATGTACCAATTAGCCGTTCAGTATGAGGAGAGAGATGGCTCCAAGGTTGAAGCTCTGCGATACATCTCACCTGAGTTAACTGCATATGTAGTTGACCAGTTGCCTGCTGACCGCGTTATCAATGTCAAAATCCAGTCTAACACGAAGTCAACTGTATCAGCTGACGAACCACTCGCAGGACTATGGAGCGAAACGATTCGCGTAAAGACGTCTGCTGGTAATTTAAACATCTCTTTAAAAAGGCAAAGATTATCTTACGTGTGCTGTGATGGTGATTAATCCGTTTTGTGCAGTGGTGTGATTGAGAAATCAGTCTGCGTTTGTGAATGATGAGGATAAACGACTGATCGCTCTCTAATGCAGGTCCGAACAGGATTTGTTGATCAAATTCCAAGCAAATGTTGCGATACCGCCACAGTGTTGATAACAGTGCCTTCAATAATGTTCAATTTTTCCAAACGTGTAAAAACACGGTAAAGATGGACGGTAGGTTTCTGGGGGATTGTAACACTGTTCTCAAAATGACCATTGTCTTCTTAAAACACATTTGATAATTAAGCATCTCAGACAAATCAGGATTGTTTAAAAAGAGTTTAAGACAGACAAAATACTGTGCTTAGGTAGAAAAGCAATACCGACAAGGACAAGGGAGACTGGAATGGCCATTTCTGGATTATTAGTTGTCGTCAGCCAGCAGTACCAAACCTCGAGCTGTGGAGCAGCCGTTATGCGGCTACTAATGGGGCTCGAGAGAGAGAGAGAGTCCTAAGGCACAACAAACGAGTGAGTTCCGTAGCGCGATCGGTGAGTGCCCATCTATCAGAATGCGATGCCGTCTACATAAAGCTCGACGCTAAGACCACCATTTTTCTGGAGGGGACTCTTTTCCTTTTTACGAAATACTTAAATAAGCTATTGTCTGAAAGGCCAGAAAATATGCGTATTTTTTAGTTGTGACATTCAGTCACGAAATTAAATGGCTTGTAGCCCAAGTAACTGAACCACAATAAAACCCCGTAAGCAATAAAAATCAATGCACCCTGAATGCCCTTTAACCAAGCGAATTACGGCTGCCAAACTTGTACTCGGCTTTAAGTAGCTTACTTTCCATGATTAGAAGGAATTAAAATAACGAGGGACTTCAAATCAAAGTATTAATACATCATTTGCCACTCTATGGTGATCATGTAGGCAAACCACTCCAAATCTTTCCTTAAGTCGCTTACTTCGCCAAGTCCAGACGGAACGTTAACAAAATGTTTTTATCTTACTTTGCAGATCCGCTTGATCTTTCCTCGGTGGACGTCGTACCTATCACCGAAAATAGTCTCCAGTTTAATTGGTCGAACTGGATTTTCCCAACAGATGGACTGCAGCGGTTTGAACTTAAAGCGAAGGACTCATCAGATGCAACGGCCTCACACTACTCAGTCAATGTCACTCCCTCGAAACGTACGGGTATTCTAGAGGGTTTGATTCCCGACAGAACCTATGAAACCGCAATTGTCGCCGTGTATGGCAATCGGAGCACTGAAAAATACACTGGACTTCACGAAGTCCCAGCAGGGGGTAATATATAACCGTCTAGTATTTTCTCAGTCGCTAGCATATCTTCAAGTACAATTTTGACAGCGCGTTTATTCCGCGGTTTTTCAAGAAGTCTTACACAGTAAATAAATGCCCTCAAATGTTCGAAAAAATCAAATATGTCGACTTGCTTGTGCAAGCATAAGTGCATCCCTCGCGCGACTACTAAAAATCGTAAATAAATCTGATGTTTTAAAGCCTAATATGCTCTGTATCGGTTAAGTAATATTTACTTAAAGCTACCCTCTTTTCAGTTTTGAAATTTAGGTTCCGTGATAGAGGAAACAAGTCCTCTTCAAAACTATTGCGAACTTCATTGTACTGACAGAACGCACCTTTTTATTTAATTCATCTGTGGGAACCTATGTGTTTTATCATGTTTGGCGTTAGTCGGTGATAGTTGGGAGTAACTCAAAAACTCACTGCATCTTCGTCTCTTAGTGGTTCTTATTAGGACCTACGCAGTGGACTAACGCCTGAAAGTACTTTAAAGCACCTTATCAGCTGGTTAACCGGATAGGACGAAACCAAGGCCCAGACTGCGCATTTGAATAACTCTAGGATGCCAGCATGTCTGACTATTCTCTAATGAGTTGTCGTTTGGTAAAGCGAAATTATATTCTGTTTGTTTCCGATATTTCGTTCACGGTACATATGCTAAGCAGAACTTGAATTTGGATGACAGTAGCCTGATGCCCAAACGCAGAAGGCTGTCAAAAAGGAACATATTTATTGATGGTTGATTATTCGAGCACACACTGTTAAAAAGATGAACGCACTTTCAGAGGGCCTGTCAGTCAGCATAAATCCCAATAGTTCAACAGGTTCCTGGGATTCACTTATACTGCGCATGCATTTTTCGACCGCTCATGCCAACCTATGCACACAAATGTGATTCGATGAAACATCTGACACATGAGTATATCATCCAAGTTAACCGTACTGTTAAATTCTCCCGCCGAATACTCAGCAAACTTCTTTTAACATTAACCAGGGAACTTTGTGAACAAATCGCTGTCCATCAATACAAAGCTTGGAAATTTTGACGTCAGAATGTCTCTTTCCCCAGACTCGCGAATGGCCTGGGAAACAGAGACTTAAGTTTTACGGCAGCGGAAATACACTCACTTCAAAAGTCTAGGGAAACGTAGTTTGCAGATAGGACGCGGTTTCTGAGTAAATCACTTTCGGCAAGTACTTTCATTTCAGCAAATATTTCGTGGTACTTTCCTGTAAAGGGTGAGTACGAAAGTTTCTAATTGTGAGACTTTTTAATACCGTGAAATGGCCGTTCATAAAGCACCTTATCAGCTGGTTAACCGTATAGGACGAAACCAAGGCCCAGACTGCGCATTTGAATAACTCTAGGATGCCAGTATGTCTGACTATTCTATAATGAGCTGTTGTTTGGCAAAGGAAATTATATACCATTTGTGAACAGATCGCTGTCCATCAATGCAAAGATTGGAGATTTTGACGTTAGATTGTCTCTTTTCCCGGACTTTCGCGATTGATCTTTAAATTGAAATGGCCTGGAATACTCCGACTTAGGTCTTTATGGCAGCGGAAATACGTTCACTCCAGGAGTCTAGGGCAACATGGTTTGCAGATAGGACGCGGTTTCTGAGTAAATCACTTTCGGCAAGTACTTTCATTTCAGCAAATATTTCGTGGTACTTTCCTGTAAGAGGTGAGTATTAAATTAAAGCTTGTTGAATCCTCGGTAAATCCATGGAGCGGTCATAGCCATATCGAATACTCTGTGGCATCTGCTAAGTTTCGCTTGATCTGTAAATCAAATGTGCACATTTGCTGGTCTTCTGTAAGTGATCAGTGATTCTACTTAAGGAACATTTTTCCGAATAGCAAATACCAATGGAGCAATTTTAATTTAACTGCCGTTTAAATGTTAAATTTCGAAATCAAAAATGGCAATCCCAATGTCATCGTGCTAATTTTGGATCCACCTTTCCTTGATGCGAAGTACTCTGCTATGTTATGAATCACCAATTTAACGAAACTGTCATTTTATAATCTACAGTAGGTGGGATAACTCATGAAATGTCAACTGAAATTCCGAAAATCGTTTTCTTTTCGAAAAGATTAATCAAGTAGGGTTGTAAAACTAATCATTCTGAGGAATAATTCTATAATAATTCAGTTACCTCAGGATGCCGACCTTTGAAAGAACTTCCTTCCGGCTGCATACAAAAGCCTCGCCCTGTTAAAATGACTACATATGTAGCATGCATTTTTCGCTTTGATTGTCGATGCCCCTAAAAGTCCAATTATAGTTCATGGAGAACATGCATAAAAACACTAATGCTTTTGCTCATTCGGTAGAAAATTACGTCCTTTTTCAATTTTATACTCAAAGGAAGTGTATTATTCGGTTTTATAAAAGTTTCTAATTGTGAGACTTTTTAATACCGTGAAATGGCCGTTCATAAAGCACCTTATCAGCTGGTTAACCGTATAGGACGAAACCAAGGCCCAGACTGCGCATTTGAATAACTCTAGGATGCCAGTATGTCTGACTATTCTCTAATGAGCTGTTGTTTGGCAAAGCGAAATTATATACCATTTGTGAACAGATCGCTGTCCATCAATGCAAAGATTGGAGATTTTGACGTTAGATTGTCTCTTTTCCCGGACTTTCGCGATTGATCTTTAAATTGAAATGGCCTGGAATACTCCGACTTAGGTCTTTATGGCAGCGGAAATACGTTCACTCCAGGAGTCTAGGGCAACATGGTTTGCAGATAGGACGCAGTTTCTGAGTAAATCAGTTTTGGGAAGCCCTTACATTTCAGCAAATATTTCGTGGTACTATCCTGTAAGAGGTGAGTATTAAATTAAAGCTTGTTGAATCCTCGGTAAATCCATGGAGCGGTCATAGCCATATCGAATACTCTGTGGCATCTCCTAAGTTTCGCTTGATCTGTAAATCAAATGTGCACATTTGCTGGTCTTCTGTAAGTGATCAGTGATTCTACTTAAGGATCACTTTTCCAAATGGTAAATACCAATGAAGTAACTGCCCTTTAGATGTTAAATTTCTCAGTCAAAAATGGCAATCCCAATGTCATCGTGCTAATTTTGGATCCACCTTTCCTTGATGCGAAGTACTCTGCTATGTTATAAATCATCAGTTTAATGAAACTGCCATTTTAAAATCTAGTTGCAATCGCCATGGCCTCCCGGGAAAAATAAACATATTGTGGCTAAATTGTCTGCTTGTCAGGAAATCAACGTGAAAACCCGAATCAGGTGTTTCCTTTGATTCACTAGGCAATGTTGCAGTTCATGTGACTGTCGGCCTTGCAACCTGCTTCGTGGACAATAAAAGCTTCCCAAATGTCTGAGTCTAGCAAATGTTTAGGGACACATTTCTCAAACACATGGAAACTGAACAGTCCACGTTCTACATTGACACTCCTCCTCAAGAAGACATAATCTCTCGTGGGGTTATTTATCAAGATCCACGTTAATGCCATATTTTCAACAGGTTAACGAACTTATTTGATATCACAACCCGCTGATCCGGGACTTGAGCCGCAAACATGTTACTTGGTAAATCAAACTTATAGAAACAAACTTTTATGCTTCGAAACATATTTGCAGTATCCACATCCCGAAAAATATGTCAGCCTTTATTCCTGCACCGCCTTGTTCTCTTCAAAAATAGATTTTTTTATTATGATTATTATAACGGGAGAGCGTCTTATGGGCAATGTCGAAAGTACTGAATAACTGAGCAGTAATGTTAAACACCTGTACAGGCCCACCACTTTTAATGTAGGGCGTCCATATGCATTAGCCCAGTGTGTAAACCAATCATAATGCATGAGCAAGCGCACAATCGATTAAATAAAACAAAACGTAGAGGTTGTTCTGTAATCGGCAAATGACACAGGTGTCCAGTTAATTTTAATGTCCGAATAAGTGCAATTCAATTTTCTGGGATGATAGGAAGATGTCCGCACGAAATCTCGTTCCTCAAGAAACATTTTATATAAAGGGGAAGTGCCGTTCGTAGTTGAACAAGATTAATAACCTGGTTTTGTCCTCAAAAATACTGGGGAATCGGTTACTTCCGAGAAATCAAATTTTATTTATCATCACTCTTTTTCCAGGGGACAATCGATCGTTCTGGAAATATACGTGATATCACAAGTACAAGTTTTGGTAGAGTAAATCAGATAAGGTTATGAGAGCACGTAAAAAATAACAGCTAGGTTTATGATTTTCAAAAAAAACACGTTCGCAAAATTGAAAATCAAGGTGTAAACACAAGAAAGTAATCATCAGAAGCTTCCCCAACATTTGCTTTCCACTGATTTTAAAAGCCCTATTTAGCGGATGACTCTAAGTTGACCAGTCCGCAATGCACTTTGACATTCTCCTTTGAGTAAATAGTCACTTTAATTGGACTGCTTTTTCACGAACCGTACCACCACCATCCAGCGATCCGATTTGAGTCCATGGTGCGTGAATTGAAAACATTCATCATGGGCACGTTACTCGAAGGATCAAAATTAATGAAGATATTCTCTGTGCTTGGAATGCCTTTAAAATATTAGCATTCCAAGTATTCCGCCAGTGTGTTTATCTCTACACTTCGTCTGCATTTTCGAAATTTAAAGAGCCCTACATGCTTGTTTTACCTAACAACAGAGACATCATGTTGTCTATCTGCGCTTTCAAACACGGGAATCCTGTTATGGGAGCATATGGTGATGTGATTTCATCTGCCATCACATCTCTACTAAAATGGAATTCTATTGTTTTAAGGCAAGAGGGGATTTCATACGCCATCGAAGATAGACAACACTCAATAAATGTCCGTGCAAAGGTGAGGATTGCCATCTTCCTCAGCACAGTGCATAATCCTAAGATAATGCACATACAGCGCATATTAGTTATTTAATGAACACTGCGAGACAGTTGTGCAGTTCTATGTGGGAGATCGAAACACAATATGCAGTTTGCGCATACGCCCATTTTATTTGGATGTTTCCATGGATCTAATCCTGTGTCCTAGCAGTAACAAGGTAAAGGCTTGCACGGCTTTGCATCTGCCGAAACCGCTTTACGTGGATTGGCAGTGTAGTTCGTATTAGATCATGAGTCAGTTATTGGTTTCCGTGTCGAGCCGTAAGAGGTGTTTTGGTTCTGCAAATGTTTGCGCAACGGTAATTACACAGTTCCTTTGAGCGAATTTCCCCCTACATTCGTTAAATATCCATTGTTTATCATCGTAGCTGCGTTGTCATTTCCATCCACAGAAAGAGCACTTTTAAGGTACTCCGGCAGCCCACTTAAAATTAAATGCATTAAATATAGTTCATTCCTTTTCCCCATCTTAGTCCACAATGCTCAGATATCTGTTACGGCCGAAGCTATCAATTCGTCTGCTATTCAGATCAGTTGGCATCCACCGCACAATATAAACCGCAGATTAGACCACTACAGGATTTTTCTTTCGTATTACGGATATTATGGTGAAGTTGGCTTAAAGGATATGGTAGTCGGACCTTCCAGGAACAACTGTATCGTGAACAACCTGCCGCCTGCAGCCGATATAGAAGTAACGATCGCGGCCGTAGTCAGGTTGGAGAATCAGGGCGATATGACCGAGGAGGGAAAATGGAGCAACGAGGTTATTGTAACTACCCTTCCCGGTAGGTCTAATTGCATCTTAGTTAATGCACCAGTGCGCAATGCAGTGTTCATTTAATCTCACTTTGACTAACTGCATGTCTGTTTTATGCAGGTTTTCAAAGACTTCTTAAATTAAGGTGATGCATGCTGTTCTGGAAATATCTTATTAGGACTGTTAACATTTGAGCATTTGTGGGATGATTACTTCTGTGGAAACAAACGCCGAGCTCAGCGAATTTGTAGTATTGGGCCTTTAATTCAGATAAGGGCGCAACCCTTGGAAGTACTGGTGACTTGAGGAGTTGCAAACTGCATGCGTCCTAACCGATGTCGCTCAAAATATAAGATGCCTTTTTGGTAGCAGTCTATGCCTTGTTGCTGTGAGTGCCCTCTTATGTCCGTGAATGCAATTGCGTATCCTGCAGCTTCCTGTCATACGAGGGGTGTCTACTTTCGTAATATTTACGCCTTTCCTATTGCAGCCAGCTTCCGGAGAACAGTATCGACAGTAACTGTCGTTATGCCTTATCCACCACACCGCCTAGGTATCTGAAACACTTCAATTACCAGCGTCAAGATTCCAACGTAACGAGTGACTGTCCATTATTTGAGTGCCAATTCCAATTGCGTATCCCGTCCCAAGCAATCACTCATCATTCACATCGCTTTCTTTATTTTCGCAAATAAATCTAAGCAATTAAATTTGCTTCGATGGAATACCAGACACCTGGGTAGATCATTAAAGTTGATTCTGTTGTTGATTTCTCAACAAACGTCCTTCAACTGGCTGGTGGATAATTTTATTTTTATTACGGTTTGCGGGTCGTGCAGCCGCCGATGACATCGAGTTTGCACACAGACCAGCTAGGGTAGCTTCCGAATTATGTAACATGTACAAATGGTTCATTTGGAGTGGGGGGGGGGGAGAGGAGGCCACGTCATATCAGTTAGACGCCAATGGGGATTGCGGCGCTGTCGGTAACGGCGAGTAAGCGCCGGGGAGAGTGCTGACGGTTACGGAAACGAGATACGGACGGACGGTGAGGGCGAGGGCGAGGGGAGCGGGGACAACAGTTTAATACTAAACCACCAAATGTAATACTAAGTAAACAAAACAGTTACAATTGGTTTCAAGAAATTGAGGATAGGAACAGTTAGATATAACAAAACGATAGATGTTCACCTATATAAGCAAAATACGTTAACTCGATAAACGAAAACGAAAATCGATAATGCACAAATGAGAAATCGGCTATGATAAAGGAAACGTGACATGTCGGAAGGTAGACTTCAAAGTGAGGTCACGTGCTGGAGATTTCTAAAAAGGACGAAGAAGTAAAAAGCCCCATTAAAAACAGCCGTTCGTAATAGTCGAAGAGACAACATTTACGGTAAACTGCCGCATCTCCCCAGACTCACATAGAGGATCTTCTAGTTGAGAAGCCATGACAAACGGAGTCTTCAGTTGCTTCCACAACGGAAATATGTTCAGTCCACAAGTCTACGCAAGCATGATGTGTTGGTAGAACACGCTCATCAAATTATTCAGCTTTGGACTGGACTTGCGTTTCAGCAAATGGCTTCTGGTATCATTCTGCAGAACAGTGAGAGCGAAGTTAACGCCTGTCCCATCCTCTGTCAGCCCATGCAGTGGTGATCGCCGCGCCGAATGCTCCCTGGCATTTCCGAAATTGTATCTTATAAGGGAATTCAGTGTCCGAGTTTGGTGGTTCTTTGCTGAATTATCGGTTCTTTCATTCAGTGAAGAGTTTCTCAATAATTGAGGAATCATAATCCAGCTTCTTCTTCTTCTTATTATTATTCAGCCACCTTTGACGTACACAATTTCGCAGTTGAGGCTCTCAATTCCAGTGCCATCAGGCTCAGTTGGGATCCACCCTCCGAACATTCTGCCGAAATACTAGGCTACGTGGTAAATCTGCAAGTTGACGGAACTAATGACTCAAGATCCAATGCCAGTCAGCATGTTCCGTCGGGAGAATATACTCATGTAATTGGCGAATTGCCCGCTGATCGCGAAATCAATGTGAAAGCCCAGATCATTACCCGATCCAGAGTGCAGCGTGGTGAGAACGTAGCTGGCAATTGGAGCGAAGTACTTCAGACGAAGACTTATGCTGGTAATTTCAAATTTTTTATTCGTTTACCTTTACAGCAGATTTTAAAAGCTAGGCAATTGTTAAACCATGATTATGCCAGTTCAAAGCATGTTTCAACAATAGTAACTCCCTATGTTCCTTTGGACATTGTTGCATCTAACAGAGAGACATAAATTGGGCTTCGAATATCGCAGTTATCAGAAGCTTGCCCAACATTTGCTTTCCACTAATTTTAAATGTCGAATTTAACAGATGGCTCTAAGTTGACCAGTCTGCGATGAACATTGTTATTCTCCTTTGAGTAAATAGTCACTTTAATTGGACTGCTTTTTCACGATTCGAGGTTCCTGACTACTAATAGCAAGCAATTGTTCGCGTTTCGTAAATATCCTTATCAGACAGAAAACCTCTGATTTTATAAATGTTTTGTACTTTGGGGTGGCACTGAGTGCTTTTAGTAGATCTGAGCATTTCAAACATAGAAATTCTGCTATGGAATCATATGGTGAGGGGACTGTAAATGGCGAGTTTATTGCATATGCCTTCATATCTTCACTTCAACTTTCAAAATTTGCTCAAACCAATTTCGATAGCTTAGTTTGTAAGGGCGCCCATATTCATAGAGCAATTCAACACAGGCAGTTTGGACTATAAGAAACCTAGATGAACCGATTTGGCGGATGTCGTGTTCTGTGATTTTTAAGCACTGGACAGTAACCTTGGAATATGTACGAAATGTCCGTTGAAAACAAACATAGAGGGTCGGTTTAAGGATGGTTTTTGCATAAACGAAATATCTCAATCATGGAAACGACCACTGACAGATGCCCCATTGCATTTAACGGGTTGGGATGAGACTAGAAGTGAGCATGTCGGTCCTACCAAATGTTAGATCGACTGTAGTGGTTAATCCCAGAGGGAGGGCATTGCATTGAGCAAAAGGAATTAAGGTGTGTGCATAAGGTCTCCCATGTAATATTCCGAATATACGTCGGTCAAAAGTGTAGGCACAGAGCTGTGCTGTGCGAAAGTGCCTGTTGCAATACCCAACTGGTATTACCAATGTTGTTCATAAGTTGCTGGGTGACCCAGATTTTATTGGTGTGCATCTGATCCTTCAGATGACCCCAAAGATAAAGGCTGACACTGTCAGATCAGGCGAATATAGAAGGTGACTGTAATGTCTCCTTTGCGAAAAAAAAAACAAATTAGCAGTTGCAATGCGGATTTGGCCTTATGGACATTCGACCCATCTGACGGAAACCATAACCCAGGACCCCGTCCTTCACTGCAGGACGCACATATGTTTGCTCCACTGTTAGACATCCACCGTTCACCATCGTAACTGCAATGCTAACTTCATCCTCAGGAAGTGAGAGAAGACTGCCATTTCGGATCCTGCACTACGACGCAGTGCGTCCTTGAAAGCGTGCAATTCTTGTTGATGAATGAACCTCAGACCTTACCTGCTCTATACTCTAATATTATGCTTATCCTCTGAGACATTCAGGTAAAACGAAGTTTCATCTCCATGGCCAGATAGTAAATAAGTCTGTCGATTTCTCCACTAATAACTTCAGGCCGTTTTATATAGATTGACTATCGCCGATAATTTTTTCGGTCTTCATTCATGCAGATAGGGACTCCTGTCCAGATATATACATGCATTTTTCGCAGGCGTTGTAACCAATGTCCCAAAATGCCATGCTTAAGAGAATCTTTTTAGCAGACCTACCAGGCGTGCGTTTGCCGAACACGTTCAAGGTACGCACAGACATTTATCTGGCTGGACAAGCAGTTTACTAATAGATCCTTGTTCCTGAAAATGGAGTAACAAGTGATGCCAGACTAGTATCGGATGCCTGATACGGGAATGGCCTGCATATACCTTGCGATTTAGTATCATTTTCGTGGGAACAGGTTGTCACAGGGACCGAACAATGTATGTGCGTGCGTCGGCCAAAAGCGTACGCATATGCAGAGGTTCCGATCTACATGATTTCGCATAAATTAATTTCGATATGTTTCGTGGATGAACATGCAGCCGCCAAACGATGTTGCGTTCTATGGAAATGTCCTCGGCTCTAACTATCACTAAGAATTATGTTCGATTTTAAGCAATTCCTGCTCGCATTTGTGGTTTAGTGCGCTGACTATAGAGATGTTTTTCCCCTTTTTTCTCTCATCAGTCCCGAGCGCTCCGCTGAATGTTACGGCCGAGGCTATCAATTCGACTGCTATTCAGATCAGATGGCGTCCGCCACCCAACATCGACCGCAAATTCGATCACTACTGGGGGGTTGTCATGTATTTCGGATACCATGATGACTATCAGTTTAAGTACATCAAAGTGGAGCCCGCTAGAAACAGCTGTGTTGTTAGCGGCCTCCCGCCTGCTACCGATATAGACGTTATGATTTCCGTGGTAGTCAAGTTGGAGAATCAGGACGGTGTGACCGAGCAGGGAACATGGAGCGACGAGGTCACCGTAACCACTCATTCTGGTAGGTCTAAATTCGCCAATAGGAAATGCTTTGCTTATTTGACTTCGCTATCACTAACTGTACGTCTGTTGTATACAATTTTTGAAGCCTTTTTATAGTTATATAGTGTACGCAGTTCAATGGACATATTAATGAGATCGTTCAATTCTAGGTGATTGTGGAATGATTACTTCAGTTAACAAAATCGCATGACTCAAAGAAACTGTAGTAGTCACACGGGGTTTGATAAAGCTGAAGTCCCTTCGATAAGTGTCAACCACGAATATCGAAGGCAAATGCAGTGATCTCCTCATTCCTCCTCACCGCTAATAAAATTCTTAGACACAGCCACTTGTGCTACCGAGAGCTGTCGATTGAATTGTGAGTTCACAGACTGTCAGCGTGCGCCATATTGCTGAGTAATTTTAGCGCCGATAACGAATTCCACTATTGAAGTCGCGGACGGCAGCGATTCTAATGCGGATGACTAGGCGTTTTGCAAACCGAGGACAAGAGTTTGTGAGGAGTTCAAAGCCGTTAATGTTTGCGCTTGCATGGTGGGGTAAAAAGTGCATGCTACAGGTGCTGCAGCTAACGTGAATCCACTGCCATCGTCTGGGGCTTTCTCCTATGAGTGGCGTCAAGACTGCATCCGAGATTTCAGGCTCGAATGCGTTTCTGGTTCATGCATTTGATCCCCCTAATCCTCAAGTGATGGTGTCGTAGGCGGCGTGTCTTTTTAAAACAGTTAATTTCTTTCGATCCTTTTTTTCGCTGAGGGATGCGATTCCCCTTTGAATTTTCTCAGGAAACTTGGCTGTCGACATGCTGTCGGCCGTTGAAGTAACATCCGTGAAAATCACTCATTTGGACGGAAAGTACTGTGCGCACAGTCCTTCACATGCATGATATCCCGGTAATCGCAAGGTGAAGTATAGACGATCTGGAAAGAGGTGAGTATTTGCAACGTGTAGGCATGCTTCGGAACCTCCCGTCTTCAATCCCATTGACGGTGACCGTAATCTAATCTTCATCGTATTGACAGCGTCTCGCCGTGGAGGTCAATTAAACATGGTGTCTTTCAGGCGCACTGCAAAATGCAACATTCAACATTGGTCATCACAACGCCGTGCATGCGGAAGGATATGAGATAACGCCTGAGGAATTCATGTTGGCATCCATTCAATGCAAACACCGAAGCTTACGTCATAATCCTATTCGAAAAGGTCCTGTCAGCGTCCATATTTATGTGCCTGGCGTCCTCTGAAACGAGAATCTACCCTACTTTCCAGAACAAAGGCACTCAGTTCAATGGTAGATAGTGACATCTGGTGCCTTTCTGCTCCAGTTTATTCCACAAGACATAACTTTGTACACTGAGCTGATCCTCGTCGCCTGAATGAAGCATATTTCTGACTCTTGCGCTCTAGCATGCAACATTGCCTCTCCGAACGCCCCGCCCCCCCTCCCCGCTCTCCCCACCCCTCCCAGACATCTTGTATAACTCAGGGAGACAGAGTTGGTAGTGCAGTCACTATAAAGATGGGATGTGCATTCCACTGTCGCGGAGGTAATGAGCAGGGAAGTAATGTGTTTACAGCCAGAGCGGCAGTGAACCGCATTCGAGAGCGCACGCGACGAAATGGTACCGGTTGCAAGCGAAGGCATTTGCCTGCAAATTGCCAAATGGTGGCTGGCGAGTGCATGCTGGTGGAGGAGGCGGATTCAGTAGGAACGAACAGCGAGCCAAGAGAGGTGGCATTGTCAAACTCTACTCATGCCTGAACATACATGCACGTGTGTTAGGATAGGTCTTGTTGTCAGTCAGGCAGATATAAGGTATAAAGACCTTCGAAGTGCATGACGATAATTTGGACAATGAGCGTCGTCATCTGTCCGTGAATGCAATTGCATATGCTGCAGCTTCCTCTCACACGAGCGGTATCTACTTTCGTAATGTTTACGACCTCCCTATTAAAGCCAGGCGTCGGTCGACAGTACCGACAGTAACTGTCGTTGTGCCTTTTCCCCTACACCGCCTCCGTATCCGGAAATTTCACGTCAACCAACAAGTTAACCTTGTTGGTAAATGTTTCATAACTTATTCAACAAACGTCCTTCAACTGGCTGGCGGATAATTTGGTTTTTATTACAGATTGTGTGTCGGTTCGGCAACATTTACGGTAAACTGCCGCATCTCACCAGACTCACATGGAGGATCTTCTAGTTGAGAAGCCATGACAAACGGAGTCTTCAGTTCCTTCCACAACGGAAATATGTTCAGTCCACAAGTCTACGCAAGCATGATGTGTTGGTAGAACACGCTCATCAAATTATTCAGCTTTGGGCAGGACCTGCGTTTCAGCAAATGGCTTCTGGTATCATTCTGCAGAACAGTGAGAGCGAAGTTAACGCCTGTCCCATCCTCTGTCAGCCCATGCAGTGGTGATCGCCGCGCCGAATGCTCCCTGGCATTTCCGAAATTGTATCTTATATGTGAATTCAGTGTCCGAGTTTGGTGGTTCTTTGCTGAATTATCGGTTCTTTCAGTCAGTGAAGAGTTTCTCAATAATTGAGGAATCATAATCCAGCTTCTTCTTCTTCCTCTTCTTCTTCTTCTTCTTCTTCTTCTTCTTCTTCTTCTTATTCAGCCACATATGACGTACACAATTTCGCAGTTGAGGCTCTCAATTCCAGTGCCATCAGGCTCAGTTGGGATCCACCCTCCGAACATTCTGCCGAAATACTAGGCTACGTGGTAAATCTGCAAGTTGACGGAACTAATGACTCAAGATCCATTGCCAGTCACCATTTTCCGTCGGGAGAATATACTCATGAAATTGGCCAATTGCCCGCTGATCGCGAAATCAATGTGAAAGCCCAGATCATTACCCGATCCAGAGTGCAGCGTGGTGGCAGCGTAGCTGGCAATTGGAGTGAAGTACTTAAGAAGAAAACTTATGCTGGTAATTTCAAATTTTTAATTCATTTACCTTTACAGCAGATTTTAAAAGCTAGGCAATTGTTAAACCATGATTATGCCAGTTCAAAGCATGTTTCAACAATAGTAACTCCCCATGTTCTTTTGGACATTGTTGCATCTAACAGAGAGGCATCAATTGTGCTTCGTATATCGCAGTTATCAGAAGCTTGCCCAGCATTTGCTTTACACTAATTTTAAATGTCGAATTTAACAGATGGCTCTAAGTTGACCCGTCTACGATGCACATTGACATTCTCCTTTGAGTAAATAATCACTTTAATTGGACGGCTTTTTCACGAATCGTATCACCACCATCCAGCGATCCGATTTGAGTCCATGGTGCGTGAATGGAAAACATTCATCATGGGCACGTTACTCGAAGGATCAAAATTAATGATGATATTCTCTGTGTTTGGAATGCCTTTAAAATATTAGCATTCCAAGTATTCCGCCCGTGTGTTTATCTCTACATTTCGTCTGCATTTTCGAAATTTAAAGAGCCCTACATGCTTGTTTTACCTAACAACAGAGACATCATGTTGTCTATCTGCGCTTTCAAACGCGGGAATCCTGTTATGGGAGCCTATGGTGATGTGATTTCATCTGCCATCACATCTCCACTGAAGTTTAAAGGCAAGAGGGGATTTCATACGCCATCGAAGATAGACAACTCTCAATAAATGTCCGTGCAAAGGTGAGGATTGCCATCTTCCTCAGCACAGTGCATAATCCTAAGATAATGCACATACAGCGCATATTAGTTATTTAATGAATACTGCGAGACGGTTGTGGAGTTCTATGTGGAAGATCGAAACACAATATGCAGTTTGCGCATACGCCCATTTGATTTGGATGTTTCCATGGATCTAATCCTGTGTCCTAGCAGTAACAAGGTAAAGGCTTGCACGGCTTTGAATCCGCCGAAACCGTTTTACGTGGAGTGGGAATGTAGTTGGTATTTGAACATGAGCCAATTATTCCTTTCCGACTGGAGTCATCACGGGTTTGCAAATTTCCTTAATGAGAGTCTTACCTTATTTACATCTCCCTGCGGAACGACATTTTGTTGTTCTTAAAGATTGCATTATATTCGAATTTCCTGATGTATAATTTGCAGACTAAAGCCTGCCATTGTGCGCCGTGTTATGGTGTTCATCGTTGGAGTCTAACGTGAATCTCCTCATTGAACCCACTGACTTTTGCTAAAGCACGATAAGTTCAAGCCAATTGTCGAAGGCAGTAGCAGTCAGCATATCGTATCGAAACTGACAGAGTTATTCAACAGTCACCACGACCAGAAAGCTCTAGCACAGTCAAGCAATGCAAAAATCACCTCCCATTCAACACTTCTTATCGTCGACCAGACTAATTGATGGGCAACAAACTAACTGCTTGGACCTTGTACTGACAAAAGCGCCCGACAGTGTCAATGTCGTAAACTGTCTAATCCTCTCCGCTAAAGTGACCATGTCGTCCTACAGTGGGAGTATCCACTCTTCTCTGTGCCTCATCGAACTATCACGGTCAGACGCAACATACGGTGTGGAGATTTTAACAAATGAAAATTTATGGGTGCCGTATAGGCTGGAACGCAACGTTCATCGGCTGTGTCCTCGGGGATCGGTTGGAATTTAAGGCCTTATTACATGGACTTATCACCAGATACTGCCCTAACTTGGAAACGAAGATCCCGGCATGCCCCGATGGCTATCAACCACACCGAAGATGGAAGTAAACTGCAACCGAAAGCTACAGAAACGTTATCCCAGGAGAAGACCATCGAGTCAATGAACAAGTACAAGGCACAGAGAAATGGGCTAATGGGCCTTGTTGATAAAACCTTCCAAGACTTCTAAAGTAGCCTGCTGAACCGTGCAGTAGAAAATTCGAAGCTTTCTAAAACTACATAAGATAATGCACTCGAAATAGAGACCCCATTCCTTTGTTAAAGACGGATTCCGGCGTTGAACTCTACAAGTACAATGGAAAGGCTGAACATCTGTCTTATTTCTTTCAGTCGGCTCTTATGAGGGCAGCCGATTTAACCGCTTATAAATATAGTTTGGATGAGGTCCCGAAAATTGTCTCAGTAGTCCTTACAAAAGCGGCTTCTCTTCAAGAATTACTGAAACGGGAAGAATCGAAATCGCCACGTCCTGATGAAATGTTCGCAAAGTCGTTGAAGGCGTTAGCCCTCGAATTGGCACAACCCTTGTGACTTGTCTTCCAAGCCCCCCTCGCAGTAGGCAGTTTGCCACCTGAGTGAAAGACTTCGTGGCTTTCATCGATATGCAGGAGTGGCAATCGTGCTTCCGCACACAACTACCCACCAACAAGCCTTGCATTTGTAGGAAGCAAAATTATGGAGCGAATTATCTACCGCGTACTGATGCAGTTTTTGAGGAACATCATCTTCTCTCTGACGCGCAGCATGGATTTCGCAAAGGGAGGTCCTGCTTGACAAGTTTTCTCCACCGTCCATAACGGTGGACCCGAGCGATTGATGGAGGAAACGTGGTGCATGTAGCCTACATGGACTTCAAGAAGGCCTTCAATAATGTGCCTCACCAGCCTTTCCTACACAAGCTCAACAGTACCACCACACGATGAGAGAATGACACAATTATGGGTAAAGAAGAGCACTGGAACAGTCTGTTTATTGTTCTGAGCTTTTTAAACTCGTGCAGGAATCCACCGTCAGAGCTGGTAACGACAACAGAAAGAGCGACAGTTATAAGGCATGCTAGACAACTATCTATCGACTGCGCAAGACTGGAGGTGACTGCGCATTTCTCCCCTGGTATCATTCTCCCGAAATTTACGTTGTTAAACATACTAATCTCTGTGTTCCAGGAACACTTGTTTTAGAATTGTTCTCTAGATACATCGTCGGATGACAACCTGTGATCCAGGGCATTCTGGTCTACGTTTAAGCTTCAGTTTCAGTTCCTGTTTATTAAGGGAAATATAGGCGAGCACCTTTGAACTGCCTATTGGTTACAATTCGTAGGAAAAAAAAACAGTGATAAGTGGGAAGGTGAAAAAGGGATTTTGTACATAATCGCGGACAGCTGACAGCTAGTTGAAAAAGGTAATTATTAACGGTTACTTACTAATTACAAGTAGTATAAACACGTATAAATTAGTGCCGGGTTGTGTGAGATGTGAGGCTGGTAATTGGGAAGCTTGATACGCGTCAAGTCTACACTTAAAGGAATTCACACAGGAGGAGATTGCAACATCAGTAGGGAGAGCATTCCATGCTGCAATCACTCTGTTACTGAAAAAGAACTTTCGTCCATTGATCCATTGCTTTCCCTGCGCGTAGTTTTAGGGTATGACCGCGCAAAGTGGGCGTGTTAGCTTGACTGAAATAATCAGTGGGATCTAAACAACAGCCTAGGCTGTTGATAATGCGAAATGCTTGTATAAGTTCACCAAGTAATTGCCTGTAGGAAGGGGGAGACAGGCTGAGAGTTGACAGTCTGGTCTCATAGGGCAGTGCTTTCAGACCTTGTATCATTTTGGTCGCCGTCTCTGGACCTTCTCCAAGATGGTATAGTCCTTAGCAGTTCAAGGTCTCCACGCCTGTATGACGCTTTCTAGATGAGGCCGCATGAAGGTGCCAAATATTTAGGAAAAGCAGTCAGGGTCAAATCCCATAAATGCTCGCCTAATGAGTTGCAATGTGGCCGTAGCCGATTTAGCCGCCTTCGCGCAGTGCAGCGTTGGTTTGAGTGAAGATGTAATCAATACACCCAAGTCCTTCTGACTGTCAACCTGTTGCAGTGGTGTGTCGTGTAGAAAGTAAGTCCTAGAGCTGGAGGCTCTGAAACTGCCGAGTTGAAGAAAGTTTCACTTGCTTATATTAAAGGGCATAAGCCAGCGCTTTGACCAGTCTTCGAGCCTGTTCAGGTTTGCTTGCAGGTGGTCTGCGTCTGCGCATTGTGAATAATTTTCCACAATTTTATGTCGTCGGCAAACAAGATAACATCACAGTCTAGGTCCTTGACGCAGTCATTTATGAAAACGAGGAATAACGTGGGACCTAAGACTGAGCCCCGTGGAACGCCACTCACCACGCCTACCTCTGAGGACTGTTGGCGCCCTACTTGTACTCTTTGGGACCGTCCAGCCAAAAAAGCTCTGAATCCATACAAGAAGGCGTCCACAAATTTCAGTGTTGCGCAGGTTGTGCAAGAGACGTTGGTGAGGAAGGCTGTCGAAGGCCTTTTTGAAGTCGGTGTAGATGGCGTGCACCACATTGCCTTCATCGCGTGCTTTGGTCCAACGTTCGAGCGTAAAGAGCAGATTCGTGAGGCAGGGCCTACCACTTCGAAAGCCGTGTTGTGCATCGGAGAGGAGGTGGTGATGCCCGACGGACTGCATCAAGGCCTTGTTAATGATCGTTTTCATGATTTTGCAACAAATGGAGGTAAGACTCATTGGCCGGTAATTATTCGCAGAGGCACGACTTCCATCCTTAAAAAGCGGAGTGATGGTAGCGTTCGTTTCCATGTTATTTGACACATTTCAGTAACGGGTTTTAAAATGCTCACAATTTTGGTGCGCCATGCATACACAGACACGTTAGTGTCTACCGGACATTTACATGCTTGGTGCACGCAATTCTATGGCTGAATTTCATTCCGTCGTTCATTTTGTGCAGGTCCTCTTTTGCAACGTTATTATTACTAACAGGGATTTCAAGGGCGTTCGCCCACCTTTCCCATGACAAAACTGGACTGAACTGAACACACTTATTAATTTCACTTTGAATTGAGATTTTGAAATTTCATAGAATGCGCACTGAGATTCACGTCTCAAGATAATTTGCCTAGAGGTGTTGATAAAAGTTACGAAAATTTTGCCCAAACTAACGGCGTGTTGACAACCAGGCTTTTAATCTCTACGACTGAGCACTATCCATGAGATTTTGAACTTCCGGATTTTTGAAAAAGTATTTGCTCTTGATTGTGGTCATTCCACGAGAAACGCGAAATGTGCTTGTGTCGCTTTTACGCTCGACTTTGGAACATGTATTACCTCGCATTTAAAGGGAAGCAATCGAGTAGCAAATCTACCAATCAAATGCGCGCTCTTTCCCAAAGTCTATAACGATGAACACATTACAATTCCCTTTCCGAACAGGTGCATGAGTTACGCAGAGCATGAGTACAAATTCTCTTCTGTTTTAACCAGAAACAGTGAATTTACGTTATGATGGACGGCGCTATATGCTCGTTAATCACGTAACAAACAATGAGGCAGGCATCTGCGGATTTCATTCACGAAACTGCCTTTAAGGGAACAAGTAGCAAGGTAAACGCATTTACTTTCACGTCCACTCTTCAACATTGGAATATCTCCCCCCCCCCCAGGTGATCGAAAGCTAACATGGTTAGCGCAGCTGCGTTCATGAATTCATTCAACTTGGACTTGGACAGACGAAAAATTAACTAATTGAACAGAAGGTGCGCTCTGTAGATGATAGGACTGGACATGAAGCTTGGAAAGTCTGAGCTAAGTACTGGCGCCATGCCCAGGAGAGGGTGCACTGACAGTGATCAGGGATATATCCGGAGAACTACCACTGGCAAATAGTCGCTAACGTATGCACAGAGATGGACTGTGTGAAAGTGCCTGTCACAATGCCACATTAGTATTACCAATGTTGTTCATGAGTTGCTAGGCGACCCAGATGTTACTAGTGTGCATCCTATCCTTCAGATGGCCCCAAAGATAAAGGCTGAAACTGCCAGATCAGGCGAATGCAGAAGGTAACTGAAATGTCTCCTTTGCGGAAAAAACCAAATTAACAGTTGCTATGTGGATTTTGCCTTATGGGTATTAGGCCCACCTGATGGAAACCATACCTCAGGACCGTCCTTTACTGCTCCACTGTTAGACATCCATCGTAACTGTATTGCTAACTGCATCCTCAGGAAGTGAGATCCCATATTTGCGGGAACCTTTTTGAGCGGGGCATATCCTGTTGTTCTCGAGTGCGTCTGTTAAACGCGTTAAGTGCTTTCTTGTTTACATACCAAGAGCTGCCACTCAGCAGTTCAATAACAGGCCCCTGATATTAAAAACCGAATACCAAGTGGTGCATTGCTGGTTTTCTGACGGATACCTGACAGGAACGCGCATGCACATGCCTTGCGATTTAGTTTCATTTTCATCAGGACAGGTACGCACAGATGCCAAATAGGGTATGTGCATAATGTAGCCAAGCTTGTCCGCATTTGCTAAAGTTTGGATTCATATGAATTCGCATAAAGTAATTTCGATTTATTTTGTAGACGAACACGCAGTCGCCAAACAGTGTTGCGTGCTATGGGAATGTCCTCGGCTATAACTATCTCCGAGAGCAGTGCTCGAGTTTAAGCAATTCCTGCTCACCTTCGTAGTTTAGTACGCTGACTGTAGTTATTTGTCCCCTTTTTCTCTCTTCAGTCCCGACCGCTCCGCTCAATGTTACGGCTGAAGCTATCAATTCAACTGCTATTCAGATAAGTTGGTGTCCGCCAACCAACATCGACCGCAAATTAGTATACTACTCTGTTGTTATTTATTACGGATACCATGGCGACTATCAGTATAAGCACTTCAGAATGGACCCCTCTAGAAACAGCTGTGTTGTTAACGACCTGCCACCTGCAACTAAACTAGAAGTACTACTCACGTCTGGAGTCAGGTTGGAGAAGAAAGGCGGTCTGTTCGAGCAGGGAGGATGGAGCAATAAGGCCACCGTAACGACCCTTACTGGTAGGTGTAATTTCACCTTGCTTAATGGACCAGTGCGTAATGCAGTGTTTATTTGATTTCGCTTTTATTAACTGTATGTCTGCTTTATGCAATTTTCAAAGTCTTCTGCAAGTGAAATGCTGAATGCAGCATGGTGGACATATTAATGTGAATGCTCAAATTTAAGTACTCGTTGAAAGTCAGTCACGTAAGTGGAGACTGAATTAAGAAAACGTAAATTTTTGCTTTCTGAATCTTCGAATAACCTTTTAAGTCCTTCATGAAGACGACAATCTATATAACTGGTGGACCCACAGAAACTACAGAACTCACGTACTTACATCCGATAGGACAGAAGTCCTTAGGATTTCTGGTGACCGCAGCATTCGAAAGGTGCCTACATCCTGACGGTGTGGAACGCAGTTCACAGGCAAATGCAGCGACTTCCTGCCTCTTCAACCATTAGGAGTTTGCTGGACAGGGCGATTTGTCTCATCGAGGGCTGCCGATCGAATTGTGATTTCACAGACAGTCATCGTGTGCCATATTGGTGAGTAATTTTAGCGCCGATCACAAATTCCAGCATTGAAGTCGCGGACGGCAGCGATTCTAATGCGGATGACTAGGCGTTTTGCAAACCGAGGACAAGAGTCTGTGAGGAGTTCAAAACCGTTTATGTTTGCGCTTGCATGGTGGGGTAAAAAGTGCATGCTACAGGTGCTGCAGCTAACGTGAATCCACTGCCATCGTCTGGGGCATTCTCCTATGAGTGGCGTCAAGACTGCATCCGAGATTTCAGGCTCGAATGCGTTTCTGGTTCATGCATTTGATCCCCCTAATTCTCACCTGATGGGGTCGTAGGCGACGTGGCTTTTGAAAGCAGTTAATTTCTGTGGATCCTTTTTTCCATGAGGGATGCGATTTCTCTTTGAATTTTCTCAGGAAACTTGATTGTCGACATGTTGTCGGCCGTTGGGTTAGACAACATTTACGGGAAAAAAGCCGCATCTCCCCAGACTCACATCGAGCACATATTACAAGACATTCAGACGCATTTTGAAAATTCCGGAAGAATGCGTGAATTTTCAGTGCGCATCCCGTCCCAAGCAATCACTCATCATTCACATCGCTTTCTTTTTTTTGCAAATTAATCTAAGCAATTAAATTTGCATCGATTGAGCACCAGACACATGTGTAGATCACTAAAGTTGACCCTGTCGTTAAATGTTTCCGTAGATTACTCAACAAACGTCCTTCAACTGGTTGGCGGATAATTTTATTTTTATTACGGTTTGTGGGTCGTGTAGCGGCCGATGACATCGAGTTTGGCACGCACGCCAGCTTGGGTAGCTTCCGAATTATGTAACATGTACAAGTGATCCATTTTGGAGTGGGGGGTTTGGGTGGCCACGTCATATCAGTTAGACGCCAGTGGGGATTGCGGCGCTGTCGGCAACTGCGAATGAGCGTCGGGGAGAGTGCTGACGGTTACGGAAACGAGATACGGACGGACGGCGAGGGGATCGGTGTCATCTGTAGGAACACCGGCCATCTTCACTGGTAGACGATCACACCGGACCCATCCGGGATCCGCGCAAAGTGAACTCAGCCCTTTAAAACAACCTTGCCGAATTGGTGGTCGGTTACATAACCCCTCCTGAGATGCACAGCTGTCCTCAATGCTGATGGTGTAGGTTGTCGGAAGGGGGATGAGGTGTGTGCTCCTCTCCATCCCACCACTGCCACCAATGTAGCGGCCGAGTATGAAGTCGCTGTATCGAACTTCTAGTCGTCTAACAGTGGCGGACAGGGTTGGGGCACAAGGGGAATCTCGTCCAAATGCTGGGTTATCTCCTAATATACTGAGGCTTGCGACAGAGGCGGAACGAGCACGACGTCAAACAAGAATTTTATAGACAACCGTTTATTACTAAAACACCAAATATAATACTGAGTAAACAAAATAGTAACACATAGCTTCAAGAAATTGAAGATAGGAACATTTAGAGATAGCAAAACGATAAATGTTCAGTGATCGGAAAATGGTTACGTAATTTTTTTTCAATATAGGCGAAATATGTTAACTCGATAAACAAAACCGCAAATCGATAATGCACGAATGAGAAATCGGTTATGATAAAGGAAACGTGACATGTCGGAAGGTAGACGCCAAAGTGAGGTCACGTGCTGGAGATTTCTAAAAAGGACGAAGAAGAAAAAAGCCCCATTAAAAACAGCCGTTCGTAATAGTCGAAGAGACAACATTTACGGTAAACTGCTGCATCTCCCCAGACTCACATAGAGGATCTTCTAGTTGAGAAGCCATGACAAACGGAGTCTTCAGTTGCTTCCACAACGGAAATATGTTCAGTCCACAAGTCTACGCAAGCATGATGTGTTGGTAGAACACGCTCATCAAATTATTCAGCTTTGGGAAGGACCCGCGTTTCAGCAAATGGCTTCTGGTATCATTTTGCAGAACAGTGAGAGCGAAGTTAACGCCTGTCCCATCTTCTGTCGGTCCATGCAGTAGTGATCACCGCGCTGAATGCCCCCTTGCATTTCGCAGTTGCATCTGATCTGTTATGGAAATTATGCCGCAAGTCCATCCTTAAGATAGCAAACTTGTCGTCGACGTAACGACGCCAATACAGCAGCTCATTTTGGATGAAGACAGACGTTTCTAGCTCCCCTAAGGCCACTGCTGTCACTAAATAGCAGAGCACAGAACCTATTTGAGTTCCCAATTAAAGGAAAAGGATTCTGCTTTGTAATAAGTCAGGCCAGATGTGATCATTTTCATTGTTCAGTTGAACACACAACTTGATTTGTTTGGCTCTCTTCTACTTTATTAGACTTTCTGTAGTGCGATGTACCGAAAGCTTTCCTTATATTTGCTGCTCTTTGTTGGGCAGTGGGTCCCACCGTTGTCAGGAAACACAGTGAATATAAGGAAAATAGCAGAAATTACTGCGTCCTCCAGTTTTCCTATATTCTGGACTTTTGCATGGATATATCTGCTTAGTAGATCCTATTACTCCAGTTATTTTGACGAAAATTTCAATAAAACCAAGTGACAGTTAGGCCGTTGTTTCCGACGATGTGCACCGTGTGCCTCACAGCAGGGTGGGTACAGCAACGGTGACTTGCGCAGCATCTACCGCACCCACTCCTCCTCACCCATTTGGTTTTCTGGCAAGAAGACCGGAGACGGGAGAGGGCGCAGGTGGCTGTCAGGGATTTCGCACAACAAGAAAAGTGGAGGATGGCTCGGCTCCCAGCTGAGTGTCAAAAAGGCCATACTAAGGAGGAATCATTGCAGTCCGACTCTACGTTCTCCGAGGAGGACCGAGTTATTCAATCAGTTGGCAACCTTCCAGGCCACGGCTTTTAGCACACAACGTTAGTCTCAAGCACGTCAGATTGTTTATAGCGGGGAATATGCGCCGAGAGAGTCGACCTCACTCTCTCTCTACCCTCTGGCAGACACCAGTCGCACGGTCCTTAAATGGCCGCTTAAGGGCAGTCAAAATTCATGTAAATGATGCCTACGAAATTCTCCTTTTGCGTTTCTTCTTAACTACCTTAACTGGGGCAGTTAAGAAGATAGACGAAAACCGGAGATGGTGTACTGCCTATTCTACGGGATTAAACGACTTCTTGGTGGATTATCACCACCCGCTACTAAGTATCGATGTGATTTTCGTCAAGTTGAACGACAAAAATCACTCGCGAGAATAGATATCTTAGAAGCGTGATTATAAATGGAATTGCAGGGGGGAATCATAGCAGCTGCTGAAGACAAGTGTTCCCAACGATTCACTTATTTGAACTTGCCTAAACTACATTATTAAACGACGCCAAACATCTCCCAGCAGGTTACGGACATAATGCTCATGAATATACGATGAGCGATCGTGTGCTTGTGCGACATTTTATTAGATGATAGTTCAAAAGAGGAATTATAAGAAAGGCCAAACGTCATCAGCCGTGGCTTTAACACCAGCATGGAGAAGAGTGGATTTTCGTGATAAGAAACTGCTGTTTGCGGTTCACAGAAAACGCAGACAGACGAGCTCCGAATCCCGAGAGAGTACTTGCATTTCCGAACAAAATTCGACAGTATGTAAAGGAATCGCAATAATATATGGGTAATGTCAGCTATCAGGGACCGTTTATTCATGAACTTCATACATTTGGAGCACTTTGGATCGCCTCTTGTGCGAGGATACCCCGTGCGTCTGTTCAAAGGATTCTCAGGTGGACTTCTTGCCCAAAACGTTAGAATCGAACATTCGAACATGCTCTCACATTCGGAATCCCAACAGGGATTTTGACCGACAAAGCAACCCAGACCATTTCAGCTACATTCCGTCAGGTGTGGCGTCAATAGGGAATCAAAGATACGATGTTCTTTTTCTTTCCATCATAAATCAAATGGACAAGCCGAGAGGTTTGTTGGCACATTTGACAGGACAGTGACATGTCAATGAAACTCGGATGTCAACATGAAACACCTGAGCACGTTCTGGTTGGCCTATCGAACGACGCTCTGTACCGAGTAAGGTATATCGATTCCTGATAAAAGTTTTCAAAGCAAAAAACTAAATGTGATTCCCAGTACCTGAAACCCGTGGCTCGAGAGGCCGCATCAGAAAACCCTGTTTTAGGGATGGAAAAAAGTATAGGCACGAACCCATGTTTTAGAAGGAGAACCCTGGATTGGAGGTATCATCAGAAGAGTACGTCGCATAATCTTCAAAATCGAGCCGAATACAGGAAATGTAAGATGACGCGCAAACCAGCTGAGGCACCGAATGACCTCAGACTACCGTTGACCCCCCAATCTATTGCGTGATACCTTCAGCATTCCAACTCCCAAAGTCGAGGTCTTTGATGTTTCTTAGGCCGCCGGGACATCCTCTATAACTAGCTGCCATGCAAAAGACTTGTGATTCATTCCATTCGCCAAAAAATACGAGGTCAATTCTTCAACAGCGAGAGGCTATAGGGTGTTCCCGAACCAGTATGGCCAACCAGCAGTCGCCCGCAACAGAGAACCACCACGCCGCAACGACAGAGTTTTGCGACAACGAGAGGGCGCTGTCGTGAAGAAGGAGACGCGATCGCCAGGGCAAGAGCTTCATTCGCTTGACGTTTCAGATTCCTGCTCGAACCCATTACCAGAGACAATAGCAGATACGGGTGGTCCATGCACCAGGGGCTGCAGTATTTGTACGATGCAGTCGTCATGGTGCCGTATACCTAAGAAAATTCACGGCTCCGTCCCCTTCATCAAGGATTGTTACACTTGGTCTGCTGACTGTTTGATGGCCGACATTCTCGTCGTTAATTGCTGCAATTTCATCATGGGTGTTGGATGTTGGTGTGATGATTGCTCGACCATCTGACCCACCGACCCTGGCGTTGGGACCAATGCATGACGCAGCAGCGAAGTGTTCGGCGCGTCAGTGGGTCCCCCAGCATTCCCTGTCCGCTTTCTGGTGGATACTCCAGTCTCCCTTGTCTTTTTCGGTAATAGCATTCTGCCTAAATTTAGAAATTGTTAGAAATTAACTGCGAACTTGGAGTAGATCAGTTTATTTAAGGTCTATAGATTCCGACTGCGCGCACTTTATGCATTCAAGTTAATTTTAAGAAACATTTAATCCACTGGAACAAATATGCCCGTAGGAGGGTAGGTAATTTTAGCCACCCGTGCCTTGTTACCCACAATGAATCTGAGATCGAGCTCTCGATCACAGTTTCCGTAGCAAAAACACTCCGACGTCCATTGTCTCTAAGTATTTTTTCGAAAATAATTGTATTTCTACATCGGAATTAAAATGTCTTTTACGTGCATAAGACGCTGACAGAACACTCAGAGTACTAGGCAGACATGATAAAACATTATATCCACCTGATTCTCAAATACACTCATGGACCCTACCATGGGAAACAACATCACATTAAGTTGACAGACACGCATCTCGTCCGGTGTTTATTGGGTGCAATTGCTATACATTCACACACCAACTAAAATGGGCAGTTCCTACAGAGCCGACTTAGGTAGATCAAGTCCTGCAGAAGGTTTTCTGAGCAAACAACCAGATGTGTGTCTCAAATAACCGAGCCCTGTTATTGCGAAAGGCCAACCCCAAAACTCTGTCTTAGGTAGGAGGAAAATTCAGATTTTGAAATTCGATTTTAGGAGGAACACCAAATAGCACGTCGCGTAGTCTTCAAAACCGGACCAATTACGGGATATGTGAGATCAGTCGCAAACCAGCTGCGGCGCTGAGTGACTGTAGATTACCCATTGGCCCTGGATCTACTGTGTGATGCCCTCCGCATTCCGAATCTGAAGGTCGAGGTTCCAGGTGTTGTTCAGGCCGCCAAGACTTCCTGCATAACTATTCGCAACCTAAAAGGCTCATATTTGGTTCCGTCCCCCAAAAAAAACGAGATCGGTTCTTCAACAACGAGAGGTTTCGAGCGTCCAAGAACCAGTATTATCGACCAGCTCTCATGCGCGACGAGAGGCTACGACGCCGCAGCTGCAGAGTCTTGCGGCGAAGATAGATGGCTGTTATCCGTTTAAAGGGAATGTCAGTTAAAGTTGCTATTTGTGCCTCAAAACATATCCCTTCTGACGTCAGTATTTAAACTTAACCTGCTTCTTATGTATTTACAGAGGCACCAATAATTCTTAACAGTACTTCGCATCCGGCAACAACTCCACCGCCAGAGTCATCAGTATTCATACCAACCTTGTCGAAACCAGGTACAACTACGTCAACTGCAGTGCCTCCTAAAACCAGCGAGAATCTCAGAACAACGTCCTCGTTGGACAGCGCAGTTGTTACGTCAACTCCGGTTCTGCTTCGAACAATCGGGAGCATCAGACCATCACCCTCGCCGAGCCCAGTAGTCCTTACGTCAACTTCGGTTCCCCCTGGATCAAGAGCAACTCATATGCCAACAACCTCGAGGAGCATAGCAACCACTACGTCAAACTCAATCCCTCCTGTAACCAGCAGTACTTTCAAACAAACAACCCCATCAAAAACAGTCGCTCCCGGGTCAACCTCAGTTATTCCTGCCACTAATGCTGTCATTACTGGCTTTATTGCTCCCTTACTTGTCACAATGCTTTACGTGTAAAGAAGGAAATAAACGGGCGTGGGAGAAAAGAAATCACGTGTCAGAAATTTCATTTTCATGTACGGTAGTATGATGTGTTGAAGAGCGGAAACACAGCCGGATGTGTTTGCGGTGTAACAGAAGCCACATTAAGAATAAGCCACTGAGCCCGACTCTCACTCCTTCAGCCAGCCGCCTCATGTACAGTGAGTGACCTATCTCATGAAATGTTGGCTGAAATTCTGAAATGCGTTTTCCATTAGGAAGGATTACTTGGTCGCGGTTGTGATACTGATTATCTTAAGGCATACTCTTATATCATTTCGCACTCGGCAGGATGTCGGCTTCTAAATGCACTTCTTTTCAATCTCCTGAATAAAGCGTGCTCGGTAAAAAAATGACTACTTAAGTAGCTTGCGTTTTTCCCATTGATTTTCGATGGTCTGGGAAATTCTAATATATTTTATAAAAACCATAAACGAAAATATGCTTTCTTTTAGTCAATCAATAGAGAATCCCGTCTTCTTTATATTTTATACTTAAGGAAGGAGCATAATTAGGTTTTTAAAAAGTTTCTAATTATGAGATTTTTTAAGACCGCGATATGTTCATTCACATAGCATCGTACCTGGCCGTTTACCACCGCTCCTCATGAAATGTACAATAAAATCCGCATCTATTGCATAATTTTATGGACCCTGTATGATATCTCTTTAATGACATAGAAAAATATGAGATTTCCTTTACGGGAACGCATGCACCTTGTAGAGTGTAATCACTAAGCGCTAATGCAACGAATGATCAGGCTCCAAATTTTTCGGCAATTAGAAAACTTTTTTAAAACCTAATTATACTCCGTTCTTAAGTATAAAGTATAAAGAAGACGTGATTCTCTATTGATTGACTAAAAGAAAGCATATTTTTGTTTGTGGTTTCTATAAAATATATTTGAGTTTCCAAGACCATCGAAAATCAATGGGAAAAACGCATGCTACATAAGTAATCCTTTTTTACCGAGCACGCTTTCTACAGGAGATTGAAAAGAAGTGCATGTAAAAGCCGACATCCTGCCGAGCCCGAAATGTTATAAGAGTATGCCGCAAAATAATCAGTATCACAACCGCGACCAAGTAATCCTTCCTAATGGAAAACGCATTTCGGAATTTCAGCCAACATTTCATGAGATAGGCCACGCACTGTATGTGTTCGAAGGAAATATGTCCTTTGTTAAAGGATAACAAGCCTTATTATAAAACAATCAACATTTTAAACGCGCCGGAAAAAATCTATATGCAAACTCTAACGGCATGGACTTGAAGACAGAGGCGACCTCGATGGTTACTATTATTTGCGGCAATGAAGAGTCCTCGTAATTTGTCCAGAAACCCGATAAAATTCGCGATTAATGTTTTACAATCCTTTATCAGTGGAGAGAGTTTGTAGAATAGCCATTTAGAAATGTTGTCATTGGATGCGCCGATTAATGGTACTATCGGTTGCAGTGCTATTTCAAGTTTGTGTACCTTAGGTAGTCCATAGTTCTCAGGTATGGTTGGTTCGGTTTATTTCAGGGACTTGGCAATATCCCTGATATTTGCTTCTTCCCTGTAAGATGTTTAAGTAGCTTTTTAATGGCTGATTACTGCGCTTTGGTAGGGTCTGGGTTAAGAGGTTTATAGCCTGATTTATGTTCTTATAAGGATATCTTTCCATCGTAGTCTGCCTTATTCAAAATGGCAGTTGAGTCTCCTCTGCCTGCAGAAAGAATGGCGATGTTGTTGTCACTTTTGACAGCTTTTAATGTTTACTTTTCTTCATGTGATAGTACTGAAGAAGGACTTCGGTTCTTTAAAGCATTTACAGTGCCATTTTGGATTGTGACACGTTCATCGTTTATAGGACTTTCTGCTGATATGATGGATTTTAAATTTGCAAGGAAGCCTAGGTATTTGGAATCGGAAATATAATATTTCCCTCCCATTGAGGGCGCATGGGTTTCGGTTACTGCAAGGCTTCTTGATAACAGGTTTGCTGCATTTTCTGACGAGGATCAGTGGCAGAATATTTCAAAAAAGCGGATTTACGACGGAAAGGCAACATTTCCTTTCAAGAACAGTTATCATTAAAAAAAATTGCCGTATTTCAAGGCTGGGTCACCCATTTAACCAATAGTGCAAACCTCTTTAATATTTCATCATTTTGTCCGACATCTTATTAAGCCGTTGAAAAGAATGCACGCACAAACATGAGCGAGGTAGTTTGTAACTAGTAGTTGAAGGATCAAAGAGCCTTTACTAAAGACAAGACGCGAGGCAACTAAATAGCGGCCTTCCATTCCAAAAATAATGATTAACTATTTGAAACAGGAATATACTTTCAGAGAATGACACTCAACTCAGTGCAAACTTTTCTTCCGTAAAATGGGTTGAATAGCATTCCTTTTGACAATTCAATCTCATGCCCTTTCAGCACGATAATAACGTCCACGCAAAGAAGGTAAATCTGGGGATCACGTCAAGTCCGTGCTTGACGGAAATTGCTACTGGATGCGCAAACACCCAGAGTCCGCGAGCAAGGCATGCAAGCAGGGCTTTTTTTCGTCACAGTCAACTAGGCGTTCATGGCCACTGAAAATGCGACTAGACCTGGACAAAAACAAGAACCGTCCCATGTTTATTCATCCCACTATTGCGGTGTGCGTGATACTCCCATAAAAACGTGGTATTATGAAACCGGGTACAAATTTAGAAGAGAGATTGCGGTAGGTGCTGCGCAAGTCACTGTCCTTGCTCCCACACTGCTGTGAAGCACGCGATGGACATCGTTGGAGACGAAGATCGTGCTGTCGTGTTATTCCCGTGATCGGGCAAAATGCTCCTGACGTGGGTTAGAAGAGTCCATAAATTATGTTATAAATTGTGAGGCTAACATCTTTTAAACGCGTTGTAGACGGCGAAACAATTGAAGTGAGTGTAGCCAAGATGCAGCATTTTTCTGTCCTCCATCGTCATCAACAGCAACAGCAACATTTTCTTCTGCTTTTTCTTTTTCTTTTTCTTCTTATTCACCAATGCGACCGACGCAGTCGGCGGGGATTCGAAGTATTCAATTATTCTCCGAGTAGAGTTGTTGATGATCTAGTGATGGATGGATGGGTTTGTGACGCTGAAGTTCGCGCACTGCCGCTGATGGTTGGTTCAGCTGATTCCGATGTTCAAGTGGGTGTATAACATGAACATGAATAGGGTTTATTGGTGAGCGACACTGGATCTCACGTGTGTACATGTGGATGGAATGGAAAATATGACGAAATAGTGGCGCATTTATTACGGCACGAAGACACGAAATTAAGAAATTGAGTATACTAGTGCACGCAACCTTGCTTTCGTTCGCGATTCGAGAGAGTATTTTTGACGGAACTTACATTGTCGGTTGCTTCCCTGTTGATGTTGGGTGCAGCATAAATACGATTGTTTCGCACAAATGTACAAGATGGCTGGCATGACATTGTCACGGTCTGAATAATGGGCGTTTAGGCAAACATGGTGGTTGATACTGTCCCATTGGTGTTGCAAGCCTCGGGAATTCCTCTCACCCGTTTTTCGGTGGCATGACGACGACTTCGATGCCATCCCAATTGAATCGGTGGTCGCACTCGATTGCGTGCGTAAAGACGAGGGACGGTGCGTCGCTGTGACTATGGGCTGCACATTTCCAAAATCTGTGACACTCAAGGCAAGTTCATTGTAATTTAAATTTGTTTCGCAGCCGAGATTGCAAGGCCAGCCTCCCAGCTAGTGAGATTAATAATGATTTGCAAACCAAACCGGCATCGGTTGAGTCCTCGTAGCTTAGGTGGTTAGCATGTTGGCTGTATACAAGTCTCACACATGCCATCGAAGGTTAGAACCCGAACGAAAACACGAGCTCGCGGGAGATTATTTAAGTTCGTGTTTTTCATAACGCATGCTTGTCTTTATAAGGGCACCAAAAGATAATAGGAAAAAGTCCATACTAGTGATTTAGTCTCTTTATAAAGCATGTTATTCAGAATATAGCCTTCGGAGACGGCCGAAAAGAAACTCGTTCGAAGAGCGGCAGCTCGACATGAATAAAATAGCTTACGAATATGCTGCGCGGCAACAAAAATTACAACCCTACTTAAGCACTCTTTCCGAATCACGGACACATTTTTGAATTTCGGTCAACATTTTGTCAGGTAGCACATTTACATGCCTGCGGCATGCCTCCGACGCAGATTTTCACGTCGCCTTAGCTACCGCGTCCCAGCCTATCGTCAGGTGGATGACGGCTCAGACAGTCGGCAGTTACATGACTGTGGCATGGGATAGCGAGACCGGCACTGGAGACGTAGTTCCACGGAAAATCAACGCATCCCGCACCGACGTGCTTGAATGTCTCACGGCGCGCCAAGCATCGTGACTAGGAAGGCTGACAACTGATGAGATGTCTGGCTTCCTCCCAGGACTAGGACTAGAGCAGTAGTGAGTCCTCATTTGCGGGCTTTTCATAGCGTTTTCACCCACGTGGCGCCTGAGCTGTCCTTACAGTTGCGTGGATCATGAAGTGTGCACCAGGACGCGTGAGCGGCATAAGTAGACGGACTGTTTATCTTTGTCGGCCACTGCGACCGCGCCCACGAGGGCTTAGTTAGTCCGTCAGTTTCCAGTCTTCCACACTATTAGCATGTCGTGATAGATTCCAACGGGCGAGGTTTTCTGATGCGAGAAATGTGCTTAAGTGGGTGCGGCGATGGATTCCCAGAGTCGACCTCACATTCTCTCCTCACCCCCTCACATGCACCTGTTCTAGCCCGTCTAGATTGGTCGCAGTGGCTGACAGACCTTAACGGCCTAAGCCCCGCACATTCTGCCAGGTTTTCACAAATATGGTGACTTGAATCTCATGTCGACAATACGATGAAATAATGGCACATGTATTACAG